CCAGCATTATTTATTTCCAAGTTTTCCTTTGACACAGACCATTTGAACCAGAATTTTTTTAAACTGCAAGATCTGAACATAGAGCAATATGCATACGCCTCAGTTGGTTTTCGTTCGGAACCTTGAATATGCAAAGCACAGCAGTGACTGAGCCTTGGAGGAACAGTACAAAAGCTTCATTGTGCCACATGGCTTTGTTTTTTTGGTGACATTTGGAATACGGTCTTCAAATCTAAGACTTGAGATGGATTGTTCCACTTTCTTGGAATTTAGCAAGACTTGCATAAATGTGTTCAAAGCATACCTTCCACTCAGTCCCTGTTTTAATACGGAAATGTGAAGTGCCCATCCTCTGCTGCCTCTGGCAAGACTTGATGTTTACAAATGTACTCTGAAACTATTGGTTCTAGACTTAACCTTTGCGCATGGCTGTGAAGGAACCACTAACTTGTTTTTTTTGCTTTTTTTTAAAAGAAAAAGATCAAATCTGAGACTGCAGCTCTTGTTTCTTTGGATGCCAGAAAAGCCTCCCATTTGCCATAATTTTGTTTGTGCACTGGGAACTGAGCATTCATCATACAGCACAGCCAAGCTTTACTCCAGTGCTATATGGGAATGCAATTTTTTAAGAAAACACTTCTGAATTTGGGAAGGGAAGGGGTGGGGGTGGGGGGGAAGCGTCCGAACTGCATTGCGATTCTGCAGTGGAAACATCGCATGTTGTTTTCACTATTGTACACTTGAACTGCACATGCAAGAAAAAGGTGGAATGTCTAAACACCATAATCAGCTCAGGGTATTTGCCAATCTGAAATAAAGTGGGATGGGAAGCGTGTCCTTCAGAACAAGGGTACAAATGCCCCTTTCGCTGCAGCGTGTGTGTATGTGTGGGTGTGTGTATGTTTGGGACGGGGGAGGGTGGGAGGGAACCGGGAAGGGTTTGAACGGCAACATTTTTTTTTTATTTTATTTATTCTTTTAGAATGTGACAATTTCATGAACAGCCACATTGGGGAGGAAACTGTAACAAATTGCTACAGATGCCTTAAACTATGCACAAAGCTAAGTGACCAAATTTGTTTTTGATTTGAAAAATAATAATAATAATAAAAAAAAATAGTGCATTGTTTACGTATTCCTCCCTCTACTGAAACATTACCCCCTGAAGGGTTTTTGATGGGAAAAGGAGAAAATGTTTTTTAGGACAAAATTAAAGGACTAATTTTAAACTTAAAACATTCCATTTTTGTAATTTGTTTTACATTGTTTTAAGTACAGTAAGCACAACTGTAATCTAGTTTGAGAAACTGGTGCTTTCTTTTAGTTCATTTGTATTTCCCTGTTATTATTGTAAAAGACTGTTTCTTAATTCTGTTTACAGTTTGTTGCAACAGCCATTTTTGGGAGAGAGCTTCAGCGTAAAGCCATTTGTAAAGGCTTTGCCATATTCATTTTAATATGTGCCTGTTGCTGTTAACTTTTAATTAATAAAAAAAATCTTTTCACATTATGCTCCTGTACATTTAAGTTACGACCGAGTCCAGCATTATGGAAAGGTAGCTAAGGTTGCAGTCAGCTTCCACTGTAAAACTTAAGCCAACTTTTGGATTTGAAAATACTAGTCCTCATACGCCAAAATTTATTGCCTCTCGGAGCTTCTTCGCCTTTTACTGTTTGAAAAGCAAATCCTGACTTACCTGTTTCCCTTCTAAAATTAAGTTGTTTATTATTCTTTCATGTTCCCTGAAGTAGTATCATTAATCTCAAAGTGGCCATGTTTAAAAGAAATAAATTTATAATGAAACTATTTTTTTGAACCTGTGTGAACTTCCTTCCTTTGCTGTCAGTGCCAGTTCTTGCTGTTGTCTGACTTCAACAGAGAAGGATCAGATGGGACAATGAGCTTTGGCTCTAACTTGCAGTAACAGAAAAGCCTTATTTTAACAGGTTGTCTTTGAAAGGGTGATACTTGCCAGTGGTGTTTGGAGCTGTTGGAATGAAGAGGTAACGCCTGCATGTGAGTAACTTACTACAGAGAGACTGCAGCTAAGCTTCCTTACAGCCTGTACAGATTTGTAGGGTTAAGCATGGAAAAGTACGGATTCCTTTTCCATGTTTTTGAATAAAACATATGCCAAGCCTGCAGCTATTTTCAAACAACCACTAAAATCAGTATCTGATGATGTCTTCTGTGACTCACTTTTTTTTTTAAATGAGAATTGGTTTAAAGACAGGGCCTCAACAGCAATATAAATTTCGCTACCTGTTACAGGCTATTTATAAGCATATTTTAATACAAAATTTTAATGAAAACTAAAATTAATGCATTTACAAATATGTATATAGCAATATTTCAGTACAATATTTATAAACAACCTGTGATTCTTTAACATTGTGCAGTCTTGCTGTCATCTGCTCTGATAGGAACCAGTACAGCTTGTCAAGGTGCTAGAGTAAAACGTGAGTAGTTTTGTTCAAAGCCACCTTTCCTGGAAAGGGGCTTCTGTCTTTTCCTACCAGGCTGGATTTAGAAAGACTGGTTCTAATCCCATCTATTGGTGTACGTGGAAGTTTCTGACACTTGACTGAATTACAGAAAAAAACAAAAACCTAAACCACAAAAAAAAGAATGCCTTCTCTTGAACATGCTGTCTAGAAATGCCTTCTACAAATCTACATTGAATTTCAACATTCCTACAGCTTAAATGTTTCATGAGAGCTGAGAGCATACATGTGCCAGGAGCACACCTAATGTGCTACAACCCCTAACAGCCAGTCGTTGGCCCACGTGAGTCCAGAAATATGTCACGGGATGGAGGCCAGATCCCCACCATAAACTGTTTCAATCTACAGCTCTGCTCCCAGTGGGCTGCACTATTCGCTCATGTACACAAGACAGATACAAACAGGCCTTAGGGTTATGTCTGAGGTCTCCGCCTGGTGTGCATGAATGTCCTTAGTTTGACTACTTCTGCTCAAGGTGTTCTTCTGCGGGCAGCGGCACTGTATATGTAAAAGATTTCAAGTAGAAAGATACAAATTAAGGTACAGAGAAGTATAAAATAAATTATTTGATGGCAGCTTTGTGATTTCATTTCCTTGGGCAGATGACTAATAAGGATTGCCACATGTTTGTTTATTTCTGGGCTCACATCAGCAGTTCAAACGGACAATGTTTACTGTGAGTTTTTCTCATGTTTTAGCCTAGTTTAATAGGTCAAGTGATATCCTAAGTCTTCCAAGTTAGTGATTTTATTGGACTGAGTTACTTCATTTGAACTTTGACAATAACGTAAGTAGAAACATGTTCAACAGAGGTTTTGTCTCTGAAAGAAGAAAACTTCAGCAGAGGTTTTCTGGCACAGCTGTTCTGAAGCTGTGGCCTTTTGGGAGGGGGATGGTTGTGCCACACCAAGGGTCTCTTGGGGAATCCAGTGTACCAGGGGATGGAGAGACTATTGAATTGAGTACCTTCCTGTTTTGTTTTGTGGTGAGGCATAAACTTCTCACTCGTTCCCAATAATTTTTTTTTTATTTTTTTAATCTGAATGTAACTGAATTAACAGTATTGTGCTGTTCTACAACTAATTCTACTGTTATTCCTGCTGCACAGCAAGGTAAGTAGTCCAGTCTGGAAGGAGAAGCATGTAAGTTGTCACTACATTGACTTATAGTCACTATAACAGAATGTAAACTATACTTTATTGTGGGTGCTATCTGGCTGCTATTATTTGTAGAGTACCACAAATCACATAGGCAATGTTTACTTTAACTGCTTTTAATTTTATATAGTGGCAGTAGAGCATTAAATACAAAACTTGAAACCAAAATTAACTTTCAAAAAGGTGTTTTAAAGGCATTTGAAAGAACACAAAGATTTAATGGCCTACCCATAAGGCTGATGGCAGAGTGTTTTAAAAGGAAGTTACATTGTATACATATTAACACCATTTCAAGTTTCACACCAGAAAACATCCTCCTCAATTGGAATGTAGACTGTACAGTTATAAGCAGCAAAGCTTCAGTCATCTTCAGGAACCTCATCAGAGCCATTCAGCTGTCTGTATTTAAGAAGTGCTGCTTTTTTCTTTTCCTAGAAAACAGAAGATCGAAAAGGCACTTGTACTTTTTCCAGTAGCCAGATCGACTTAGAACTCTGAAATACCCAGACTCAGCTTTTTCTTTGTCAGAGCAAACCTTGGCTTCATTTAAGTGTGCAGCTAAGTTGTAGCTCTCTGGTTCCTAAACAGCTTTTTTCAACCTGAATTTTATTTTTTAGCTGGAGCTCTTTCTACACCTGTGGCTAGAGCCATGAGCTCAGGTGGTTGGTTAATGCACTAGCTCTGTACAGGTCTGGCAGCAAATAGCTGCTATGGGATGACCCCAAAAGAGCTTCCCCTGGAAAACAGGTTATGTGCAACAGCTTATACTTTCTCTTCCCTGCAAATAGGACCATGAGGGCTTGTGCAGTCCCCAACTGCTATAAACCTATCCAGGGACCCAAGACAGCTGGGGGATAAAAAGGTGTCCATGAGCATCTCTTAGCACAGCTGAGATGAGCAACATACTTTTGGCAACTTGCACCCACAGTACTTGTACCTTTTTTCTTATCTACACCACTTCTATGCTAGTTAACACATACTCTGACATTAATCATTTTACTCTGCTGCTATCTACTGGTTATTTCAATTTCGCTGGACTACCTATCCACAGAGGCCCCCACAGCATGATTTACTCATTTGTCATGCACTCACTCACTTGTTGGCCACAGGGTGATACAAGTAGGTTTTGCTCTCTTACCCTTGCAAGCTCATTTGAAACAAACAAAAAAACTCTGCACAAAAATGTGCTGCTACTTAAAATGTCTCATACCAGGTGACCTCTGCAGCAGATTTAAGTTTTCATTTTCTGTCAGTAGGAAGCAGAATGCACTCAGGTTTTGTTTGGGCTAAAAGTTTGCTAAAATTAAGTTTTAAAAGAAGGACTTCAACATGAGAAAATCAGTATCAAACTAAACATTGTAGTGCAAGTTATAGTTAGAGCTCAAATGACTGTTATTATCTTAAGGGTCTATCACTATCATTATTAACATGTACACAATTTTTAAGGTGGTCAGTTATGCACAAAGAATGTTGTATATATAACTTAGTGTTAATAAACTAAAACCACCATGTAAGTCTTAGTAGAAAGCCAGGTTTTAATACAAAATTAATACCTGAGTATAATGGTCAAATTTATTCCCCTTGATAAATCACATACAAACATGTTTAGTGCCTTAATTCTACATTTCACATTAAGTTTTTCCTGTGTTATAAGAGACCACTCTGTACTAGTGCTATTTGCAACATAAAATATTTCAGACAAAACAGCTGAAGTCTTGCACGTAGTGATCTTAATACATTAGGATTTTTCAATTAAAGTCTTCATTTTTCCTGTAGACTTCAGCATGTGCGGTCCAAACTGAGAAGGAAACGAGAAACACATTCAGATTGCTTTCAGCAGAAACCTAGTTGAACTATTATCCATAAAAGTTGTAAGTGAAATTAGAACTTGGGCAGAAATAATTTCCTTTATCAACCTGCTTCTCTGCATGTGGATTTTACCCCCTTCACAGCCACAAAGTAAAGGGAAACTGGTGTCAGCAATCAGCTGAAATCGCTTAGATGAGGCAGCTAACCATCTGCTGGAGCAGCTCTGACTAAAGATAGGTCACTGCCACAGCAAAAGAAGATAGATGCAGTTATCTTTAGAAGTTGACAACCAATAGCTCTAGTGGCAGTTTAACAGTATTTCTGTTCTTACTCTATCCTGCATTTTTGTGCAAGTCCTTTTAAAAACTGTATCATACAAGGATATCATACGAGGACTGATCTTGCAAAGATGTCACATATTGATAAGGAACTGATGACAGATGTTTATTAGCGCATTATGGATCAACATTCTATCACTTAACAAATTACAACCTGCAATTTTCTTTGTTTTTGAGGACTTGATCCTTAATCTCAAATGATGGATTGTAAATTTCAAAATTGGAGAGTCATGAAAAACTCATGTGTGAATAAAACATTGCCAGCTCATGTTCTTTTCCTTAAAGCCCCAGAGATGCTGGGAAAAAAGTGATTGATTCTTGGGGAATATCTAGCCTTTCAGTTATGAAGAACAGCCTGAACATTACAGGAATATACCTTAAAGGCCTAAACCAGAAGGCAAGTAAGTCAACATTAATAAGCTGAAGTACTCAGAAGTCCTGAGATTTGTGGCTTGCGAATCTTATTTTCCTCAGAACTTCATTCAGAGTGCAGCCAGCTTTTAGAGTTTTATGTGCAAAGTTAAAAATAACTCTTTACTCTTCCTCTCCAGTTATATAGCACAAGGCTTCAAGGATTGCTTATTAACAAAACTGATCTATACTAGCCTGTTTTATAAGTAAGTGTGTATTGCTAGAAACTTGCATCTTAAACATTCACCACTTTAAAAACCCCTTACTTTGATTTGAAATCAATCTGAAATAAACTAGAAGCCATTAACTTGCACCATGATGTGGATTTTAAATATAATTTCATTTTAGCATTCTCACACTATAAAGAAACTGCTTTTATTTGCTCAGCATTTCCAATTATTAGAAGAAACTGTCTATACCGAGATCCCACAGGCATTCTGAACAATTTGCTTTCTGCATTCCTAGGAATGGCTAACATCTTTCAGGATCTTGCTTCAAAATTTCACTTACGCTATCTGAATGGTTAAGGTTGGTAATAACAGGCAAACTCAGTTCAGATTTGATTCTGGTATGAGCCCTTAGGAATCAAGTTTCCAGAATATCACATGCGTGTGGCAACAGAACATATTTTTTGTTTTCTTTTTTTTTTTTATGCTGTAACAGGGCTTTTTAGTCCTAGGGCCAAAAGAGTACACACAATCTTAAGACCTGATACTAAAAACATATGATTTGCCACAACTCCTGGCATATCAGCAGTACTTCATTGGGTTTTGTGAACAGGGATGCTAACTCGTAGGTATTTGCATATGTTGGCAGAAGAACATACGTTGGCTTTCACAACAACTATAATTTAGTCCAAGCATGTGTTCAGAATCACAATACTCACCAGCACTACCTCAGTCTTTGTCTTTGTTTCAGTCTTTGGAATAACTTTTTCTGTTTCACTTTGGCTATCATTTCGGTATCGATACGCAAATTTCTTTCTGAGCGCTTCTGCTATTAATGCTGCAGGATCTGTAGGGTCAGCCACTTTAGATTTTGTACCTTCTGATGATCTAGAAAAGAAAATGAGAAGCATTAACATAGTCCAAAACAAAGCTTTAGATGTTGTCAATGCTTTTGTGTTGTTTGCCAGATGTTACATCAGCATCTCTCTCACCTTGAAATAGTTCCGAGTCATAAAACCAAATCATTAATGCAAATGTTAATACACTGATATTTATTTACATTTACTACCTTTTCACTGAGCGTAGTTTCACGCTGTTCATGTCTTTGAGGATTTCTAGCATGTTTGGTATTTCAGACTTCTTTGGCCCATTTTCTGTCAGATTCTGTCCAGAGTTCATTTTTTTGGTTTTCCTTTCTTTAATGAGTTCAATTGCAGACATACTCTGTTGTAGACCTGGGGGAGGGAGTGGTGGTGGAGGAGGAGGTGGCGGTGGTGGAGGTGCAACAGGGATAGCAGCTGAAGCAGCTGGACTTGACCCAACTACAAATAAAACATGCATTACACATCAGTTTACTTGTAAATCCCCCTTATATCTCTCAGATGCTCCAGTAAGAATACAACTGTAATAACTTCAATTGCCTCCTCTCTGCCTTCTTTAGATTATCACATAATTTATTCATTCCTGAACCACCTAAGGAAACTCAACTGAAAAGCCACATAAAAATCCTTCTCCAAGAGTAAGAAGCTTTCGTTGAATTTCTAGTTCAAGTTCTATGTACATTCATGTTTTTACTGCAATGGGATGGACATCACGATGTCTTTTAGTTATGTTCTGCTCCTAATGTTACCAGTATTTCACTTTCTTCCAAGAGGCAGGTACTGAGCTGGAAGTCACATAAAATCTGCCATGTGAGCAGTGTTTCTTCCTACTTACCATCACAAATAAGAAATTACAAGATGTTTAAATGTAAATTTCAGAGCTCAAATAGTGCTTAAATTGAAGCTTATTCCAGCTCTGAGGTTAAGGATTTTTAGGCCAGCTAATCAGATAGAGATTCTCACAGTAATCTTGAAATCAAGTTCCCTGTACTCTTCAGGTAAAAATTGATGTTATAGTATCAGTAATAACTTGACAAATAAATGAAGAAACCTCTGCTCAAATGCATCTTTAAAGAAATCGGCAAAACCAGATCAAACCAGAGTTTTGAGGCTTGGAGTATAAAGTGTGTAAAGATACATATATAGATAATACAGAGGAGTCTTATTCTGTGTACATGTAGGCATACACGCGGTGTCATTACTATATTCTACCAGAAGAGGGAGGTAGAGATGATAAAATCAACTCAAAATTTAATTTTCCTAATAAATAGAGGTAAAGGGAAAATGATGAAAAAGTTATTAGTTATTTCACAAAACTGCACAATAAGTACAATTCCAGAGTGAAACCACATGATCCAACCTTAGAACTATTTCATAGTTTTGAATATGAACAATTAAGGAAAAATAAAGTAACTGCTGTCAGTTCACAGACAAAAACTAAAGAGCATCTGAAGAAGCAGAATATGATTTTATACATAAACATAGGCAATACTGTACTTGCTAAGTGACCTTAGAAAAGGGTGAAAACCAAATGGCTGTCAGCTGCAGTCAACAAGGGCCATCTCCCACTAATCTTTGGAGATGGTAGACTTAGAACTGGAAGGCAGTCAGAGGTAAGGGAAAGAGGAGAAAGGAACTCAGGAAAAAAAAGAATTATTCTGTTTACTACCAGCAACAGTGCACTACTTTTGGTTCCATCTGGACAATGTGTCTGATCCCAGAAAACAATCTCCTTTCCTGTTATTTCAAAAACTTGAGATGTATATTACATATTCCAAAAGTGTACCTAGCATCTTGTATGATTACCTTATGATATCAGAGAGCCTATTTCATTACTGGATGGGAAGACTTAGGTGTTAGTAATTAAATTACATTCTTTTAGTTTGGTTTAAGCCATCATGTTTATCATGAGATTTGCTCTGAAAGCTGTTTAATACTTCTTTACTCATCCACAGATTCAGAATTCTGGCAGACTCACACAAACATGAAGACTCTCAGAATACTAGAAAACACAGAAAATCTAGCAGATCTGTCTTCAAGGCCTATTCTGTATCCCTTGGTTAGTATGCTACATCCATCTACCAAACTAACCAAAACAATATGGAGAAGTGTTCTGTGTGCAGCATCTCACCAAAATGAATTAGCAAATTATTGATTATAAAAGGGACAAATTCATTAACTGATTTCTGCTAATAGTACAGCAAGTTTAATACCTGCTGTCAGGTGCTGTTGTTCTTGCAAGATTACAATTTTGGCTATTTGTGCTCTTAAAGTGGCTAGTTCATTTTCTAGAGCACTGATCTTCTGCAGAGCTTCCTCATTTGTGGACACTGTGCTCCTGGACACCGATTCTTCTTCCAATGGGTTTTGTAAGGATATCTGTCTGCATGGGGACTTTCCAGAATGATGTAGTTCACCTGAAAGAGGCTGGGCTGTTTTTGACCAAACTTCTGACCTGTAACAAAAATATCACAAGATTCCTTTTTAAAGGCTTTGTAATAGATAAAAACTAAAGCAACGTTACATACAAATAAGGAATACAAGTTGAAGGCCTGACTTCAAAATTGTCTTTACACAAATCACTTCCACCCAGACATTATATAGCTTAAAATGAGAGCTTCACATTCTTTATGTTTGCATCACTATCTGTATTTCTTCTCTTCCCCTAGCTAGCTTTTAGTGGAATCCTTGATTTCAGGAGAAAAAAGGAATACATCCCCCCTGACCCCCAGTCTACTTCTCTGCCTCATACCTATTGTATTTTTTGTTGGAATTAAGATTAAAACCTTTTTTTACCCAAATGCTACCATTTTTCCCCCATGGGCTGCAAATAGTCACTTGTAGTTGATTCCTTTGAAGAAGAAAGAAGAGTTTCTTAGTTCCACAGCATATTTTTGTACTTTTTGGACTTCTGAAGGGACAGTCCTCCATTTTAGCAGTGTTGGGAGTATGGAGTATGTGGAACAGCTCAGTGATGCAGAGGCATCTTATAAGTAAATGGGATCGGGTCTTTTATCTAGTTTCTAACACAATAAATAAATAAAACTACAGAGAAAAAAACATACAGTTTTTAAAACTGTAGAATCCATGTGCTTCCTTCCTTTTTCCCATAAGAGCAAGAAAATGCAACTCTGTTGCCTTCCTTTATTACTCACCAGAGCTCAGGCTGTGTTAAATACTGAGGCATTACTGAGCATCTGCAGTCAAATAAGCACTTAAAGGTTATATTCATTGAAGAGAGCAACGTTTTTAAACAGTTTATCTCAAGTATCTGACCACCTGATCTAGTTGAAGATGTCCCTGCTCACTGCAGGGGGGTTGGACTAGATGACCTTTAACGGTCCCTTTCAACCCAAACTATTCTATGATTCTGTAAGTAGAATTGATAAGGATTAATGACAACAGATTATTGTAAACATTATAACTGCAAAATATGACCACATACTTAACTCCTCAGTCCTCCTTAACTTCAATCCCAAAACCTCTCAGGCAGGTCTGGATGCCATTATTTATTCAAACATGAGAGTAAAAACAGTGGCTAGTGATAGGACTTTTCAAAATGTGTAGAATGGCTCCAGACTAATACAGCTTAAGACCCCCACCGCCCTGGATGCATGGGTTAAGGTACTGTGGGTGCGCATCACGTTAGATCTGCAGTTGTGCTAGACTTAAAGCGAGAGCCAAGACTTAAGGCTAGAACAAGCCCTGTGCTCTGACCACTTCAATCTGTGATTACATACACATTTGAGTCTTCCACAAGGCTGACAGAAAACATCAGTACAATTTGCAGAAATTTGATCAAGCAGAATTGAGTATTATCAAGGATGTTAAAATTTAGGTGGTGTTAACTAGATTGGAATAGAGAGCAACTAAAGCTGAGAAGAGAACAGGATGCTTCCTATAGCAGCCATCTCCCTGCTCACCCTAAATAAGTAAGGTGGAAGGAGCCAGTGGTCACTTTACTCTTTAAAACCTGCCTTCTAGAAAATCTTTAAAGCAGAATAGCTAAACAACAAAGGGTATTTTCTGCTCAGAGCAGTAATGGTGTTTTAAGGAAATGTCTTGATTGGAATCTAACACTGTGGAAAAAAATTATGCATGAATTGTCACTACTGCTTTGACTAGGGGTAGGGGAAAAATGGTTTGTCATTTAGTTGCTTCCTCTATAAAACTGCATTCACAGAAAAAAACTATATCTGTAAGACTGTTTACTGAATTATACAGTGAATATATATTTAACAGTAACACCTATGTGATCTTGTCGAAACAGAGAATTTCAAATGCCTGGAAAACACCTAATGCATACAAGCTTCACTACATAATACTGTGTACAGACATAATAAACGGTGCACATTGAAATACTCGTATTTGCTAACTAATTCACTTACCATGCTTCATTATAAGCTGTTTGCCTTAAGGTCACTATATATCTGCAGGATTATTTTAGTCCCATCCCACATCCATCTGTCCCCCTTCCCCCCTTCACATGCAGACATCTCAGCAAATATGCAAGTCCTACATCTTTCATAATAGGTTCTTTGAAGCACCAAAGAGCTATTCTCCCTGTTGTCTCCATTAAACATAATAGCTTTACAGTTCAATCCTTAAACAAAATGTTTCTGTGCAAACAAAAGTAGTATTGGCCAGTTAACTTCCTTTGCATCAAAGAGACTTTACAAATAGTGTTTCCCAAACCAGCATTGATTTCTGTGACTCCCCTCTGAGTCTGTGAAATTAATGTAGCAGTGCCAGAATGTTTGTTATGCAAAGCTTCACTGTGGCAAGTCATGTTGGAGGGCAGCTAGGTCATTACTAACCTATTTCATGCTTTCAAATTAAGAACAGTATCCTCCAGTAATCTCTGAAGCCAACAATCTGTGCCCTTCTCTGGAAGGTTAGTTTGTTTAGAAGAAAAACTTCCTCTGCGCTACAGAACTGTACCTTTTTTCTGGCTAGTCTGAGCAGCAATTTGGGTAGGCTGGAATACAGAACTTCATCACTTCAGCCAACCTGTTTCATGCAGTTACAGTGCTATGTAGTACTCCTGGTCCAACCCAACAGTACCTATCCCATCATTCTGGACACAGGTACTCACATGCTTCCTTGCCAGTTTTCGTTACAAAGATTAAAGATGAAATATAAACCATAATTTTTTAATTGCCTTTAGCAGACTGCAGAACCTTAACCAGGAAGGTGAAAAACGTGTCAATTATTGGATTGTCAGGATGACCATTGCTACTAATTAGGAAGCTGTACTGTACACCACCCCACATTAATGAAAATCTCGGGAGAAATGGAGAATCAGCGTTAGCAATTGTACCATACCACAGCACGCATTTTTGCAGGGACAAGGTTGCCTGAAGCTGTCACATGCAATTTTTTGCAATAAATAAGTAGACAAAAACCAGTCTTCCTTGTGTAAAGTCAATCCGCTATATCTTCTCAAGCCAGTCTTTCATTCATAATCCTGGTAGTCTAACCTCTACTACTTCTTTTCCAGACCCTACCTTTTCTATCATTCTTCCTTCTCTCTTCTCCCAGCATTCAAGTGCTCTCCATTAATTGCAATGCACAGTAGATTCTCATTGGAGAGAAGCTAGGTTTCTTCCTCTCAGTTCAGAAGTTCAAAGAGAAGATTTGCAGAGCATACCTGAGCCTTGTAGAGATTTCACCTTCTTCTTGAGCAACCCATCCCACGTCTGCAAAGGACGCCACTGCATCTTCTCTAAGTTGATTAGGATGGTTTCCTTCTGTGGCATGAGAAGTAAGCTAAATTTTAAAGACAAGATTGAAGGTTTTAGAGTCACTATTCCCAGCCCAAGTCACACTTATTTTACCCAATGCTTTTAGTGAGGCTACATGTAACTATTAACACATACGTGCATGAAACACATCTGTAGACTTAGCACACTTATTTCTGTCCTGGGCTTAGCCCAGAACCATTTCACTGACTTCAAACTATTCAATCCAGTCTGCTGAACACTTTACTGAGGTTCACTGCTAACTACACATACTATCACATGACACTACTTAACACTACAAATCCAATGCAAATTGTTACCTTAAAGACAAACAAACATTCTCAAGTAGTTTGCTATACTAAATAATATGTTTTTAAATTATATTCATGACCAGTAGTTAAAAAAGACATTAATGCTACTAGTACTTCTAAAGCCTTTTGCTCTGATTTAGTTTTATTTTGAAAGTGAAATTCCATTGAAGTATGTTTCCCTTCCCCTCCAACTTCCAGAATTTCTGTAAAGGTGTGTACATTACACTGTGAGGCGTGGGAAGCAAAAAGCCATTTCTACTAGGTCAGTAATCACAAAGACTCTGAGTGAGAGGTAGGGTGCAATCATAACAGAATACACTATTTGCTAACAATCTTATTTACAGCATGCCAAACAAATTGACCATTTTCCAGCACAGTTCTGCCATTAGCTTTATAGCTGTTTGAAGCCAAAGATGAGCAAGGCTACAGAGACTGGAACCTTTCTTAGATTTACAGTTAAGTGACCTGAATGGAGATCTGAAAAATTGTTTGGACCATCAATACATGCCCCATAGCCACAACTATACAAAATGGTTTCAAATCTACTTGGAAATACTAGCTGCTTCCCTGGGTTAGACAAGGGCATGTGTACTCAGTCACTGGACTACTGAGCAGCCTGGGCTCAGTATCTTAGCAGATAAAAGCTACTGAAACATTTTTCAGTAATTTCTGCTCAGTCTGTCACCTTGAGTTACTTATCTCCAATGCAACTATGCCACCTCTTTTGCTTGTATTACATACAATCCACAGGCCAAATTTGCACATGACTCATTGCAGCTGTTTAAGTGCTGCCTGCTGCTGGTTGTGGCCAAGACACTAGTAATACCGACAAAGATGGTGGTAGTCTGTAACAGTCTGTGAAGACAGCTTGGATCCAGCCTGTTAGCACTTAAGTCAATTTTCAAGGCAACTCACCTCTGTGAGAGGAAACTATTATGTAGCAAAAACTATGAAACATTAGCAATAACCTGAATTTGTAGCAAACCTATCACAGTAGGACTGCAGTCTGGATGAGGTGAAACCATTTCTGAAGAACATCCACAGATATTTTAGTTATAGCCTTTGACACAGAAGTCCCAGGAAGATGGAAGTTGTGGGTTTCGGGTTCTTTTTTCCCCAGGAGTTGTTACAAACAGCTTTGGAAATCGAGATTAGTCATCTTCACCTCGCACTCTCGCAACTTGTATGTGAGCCTTTATCACAGCTCCCAGGAGTGTGTATTGGCACCATCAGATCATTTGGAAACAACAGGGTTTTTTCCAGGTAGCATCAGCACAGATGGTAATATGTTTATCACATTAACAGTTGTGCCTAATACCATCACAGTCTGCCTCTCTTTAAAACAGTCTAGAGAATACTATATTGCATGTTAGGATTTTCATTGTTTGAGGTTTCCTTGGCTTTTTTCTTTTTTAAAATAAAAAGAAATTTTCATGACCACAGCATCTGTATTGATGTTAATGGCAATTTAAAAAATCTATAATACCTTAGCCACTTCTTGCAGGTGATACAGATTTTCCTGATGGTAATGGCCACATGAGGAACTATTACCGTGAAGAGACTGAAGCCACATTTAAATAAAGACACTACACGTACTTGCATCAAAAATAATTTTATAAATCAACAGTAAGGAATGCATTTACCACTGCCAGGTTTCCTGCATTGTGAGATAAATAACTTCTAATCCAACATTTAGTAGCAAGCCTTCTGTTATATTGTGATGCAAGTTTCTTCTTTCTTTTTTATTTGTATTTATATGTAAACAGAATCTGCTTGTTACCCCATATACAGATGTTTCTTTTCTCTACCCCTAAAAACAACAAGGCCTTCCACAGCAAAGGATTTCAAATTTCAGTTAATGCAAGATTTTTACTTTAATTTAAAGGTTAAAAGCCAACACCCATCTCTTAAAACCTTTGCCTGTCTGTAGAATGATGCTTAAACAACTCTGTGACTACCCTATTCCTCCAGCTAATCTCAGCTGAAGAAAACTTGGACAAATGCTCTGCCAGCACCTGAAATGGAGAACAGAGAGCTGCAATCCAATTCTACTGGATGGCAGGAACTGAATGAAACAGTGAAAGTAGCCTGCTTTTCTTTCTCTGGAAACTACATAGCTGCTTTCCCTGCTTCTTCACAGGCTTCTTTGCCTGTTTTAGCTTGTATGTATGCTGGACACACACAGGGCACACCTATGGGTTTCGGACCCATTACTCTATTAATTTCTGAAGAAAAGACTAAACACGCTGTATTGTTTTGGCTGATGTCATAGAATCATAGAGTATCTCGAGTTGGAAGGGACCCATAAAGGATCATTGGGTCCAACTCCCAAAGAGTCAGCCTTGCCAGTGTTCCCACCCGGTTTCAAACCATGGACTTTTCACATGTTAGGCAAACATGATAACCACTACACTACGGGAACACTGCTACAAAATCTGTCAAAGCAGGTTCCCTACTCTCTGTTTGCTCCAGAAGCTGAAAGCACAACAAGTATTTTTGTACATTTAAGGACAGAATAAAAACTCTAATTTCAAATTACTAATAGTTAGAGATTAAACATTTGGAAATACTTCTTCAAGTAAGACAAACTTGCTATGATTTTTCAAATTAGTCCAGTAAATTTTGATGTTTGCTACATGCACACCGATTCCTTAGGAGACTTCTATTGAGTTATCAGGTTTCCATCAGACAAACAGGAGAAGCATGGGACTAGAACAGAGATGGTGTAGCTGAAGGATACTATCTTGAGAAACAGTATTGTAGGTTTGGTTGAATCTACCTAGGCAATATTGATAAGTTTAACTTTATTTTCTCCTAAAGACTACAGATAAACCTAAAAAATATGCCATACAAAAGAACTATATGAACCATTTTCATTTGTTCATGCCATATAGAGTATATAAGGTAAGCTCTGCCACCGCTTACTGAATACATAAGCAGCATTTAGCAATTAATTTAAATGTTCACTATGGCAAGATCCATACAGATACTACAACAGTCAGTAGACCTCAAAAATCAAAATGTTAGGCTACTACTCTTTTTTTCAGACTACCTGAACAAAAACATGCTAGAAGAGAAGAAAGAATGAACATAACAGAGATATTCTTTCAGTATCTCTTATCCATTTATCATAAGGAAAATGGAGACCTGTGGAAAGTTTGTTGCTCTTAGATGAAGTTAGAAACACTGATGATATACATGCACCCTCAGATGAGGCAAGTAAGGTTTGCTTTGGTTTTTAAATAAAGTGACTTACAGCAAGGTTCAGTGCATGGTCCTTTCATAATATAGCTAAAGCTGGCAAGAAAGAAAGAGGAAGAGACAGCTATAGGAAAGCATCACTTGCAACAGCATAAAAACAATCGAGACCAGTATTGAACTTCACTATAGAATCTTAATGCTGAGGTAAAGACATAAAAAACAGATGTTAGCATCATACTTTTACATGTTCAGCAGTTTATATATTAAAATAGTTTAAAGCCTGCATAAACCATATAAATTTTAATGTGTTTCAAGGCTCAAATTTTGAAATTCGTATTTTTAATTCAACCAACTCTGACAATTGTACTTCTGTTTTTAGGATCCTTTCCTTTCATCTAATAGAAGATGAATGTTTATAATTAGTGTGCACAAAATCTACACAAAGCTGACTGTCTAAGAGGAAAAAGGGCAAATATTTTATTTATTCTAACACAAAATTCAGAAGAAGACATATATGTATTTTTATTTTAACACTAAAAATATTCAGGAACAGATTCCCCAGATGTATCTTACAGCTCTTAGCAAGAACTTAAACCAGAATTCTTTTATGTACCATATTAAGAGAAGACAGTATTTGGCTAACTATTTGCAAATGAGCATCATCTTCCCTTGTACGGCCTTTACAGTGCAGAAAATCAGACGCATTATAGGAGGACTTCCTTTCAGATCTGAGGCACACAGAGCCTTATTGCTGGCATAACTACTATGAATTATATATCCAAAAGTTTAAATCCAGCATGTCATTTTCTTGTCCTCACCTGCACAAATCCCCACCCCCGCAAAGCCACTAGTAGTGGGAGATGGTTGCCCCCCTAGTTTCTCAATGTAATTATTTAAGAGAGGCAAAATGTTAGCATGGCTTTCGCTATCACACCAAAAAGGCTTCTGTGGTAATCTGAACTATCTGATTTTGCTACTATAATTTCAAGTCTAAATGTTGTTCATATATTTCATATAGGCTAAAGAAATTAATTTAAACAGTGAAAAATTTAGCTGTGTGGAAATTACATTGTCTTAGTGTGGATGACGATTCCCACCATTCATCTTTATGTTTCCCACCCCTGCTCAGCCCAAGAAACATTCCCTTCTCAGCTTGAGTTTCAGACACTAAATTTCTCCAATTCTATACCCACCGCCTATCCCTAACACACACAGAGTTGAAGAGATTATGTGTAACAGCTTCCATTTTTCCATCTGTTCCTGAAGGACTTGTTATAAAAAGCAAGGGTTTTCTCCTCCTTAAGCTTTTACCCTCACTCTTTACCCTCCTACTATACACAGTTGAAGTTAAAAGCAAACAAGTCAGAAAGCTACACAGAATTGATATTCCCCTTTCACCTATACAGTGCTAGCCTTGTATTTAAACAAATAAACCCCAGTGTACTCATGTTATCTTGTTACTAATTTTTTACTTTCTGATAAAGTTGTTTATTTGCCCAAATATTTTTAAGTAACACTGTTCATCTTTAAATACATCTTAAGCCTAGCTTATAAATACTATTTATAGAAACAAGTTTCAAGCATTTTTCTCTTTTATGAATGTGGTTTTTTTGAAGAATAACTTTTTAATACTGTATTGTCTCATTTTAGAAGTTTAAATTTCCTTAGGAAAAAAATTTGTTTAAGTTTCATTATGTATGTTACAGCAACATGGATTCAGGTTTTAGGCAGTGCAGAAGCTGAAGAATCCACATTTGAAAAAAATCTAAACTGGAAGTGGAAAGAACTGAAGCAAGCTAATTCTCCTATGTGCCCAGTTTACCATATTCTGCTTTTACAAACCCTCTAGTCATTTATTTAAATGAACTGCATATTTACTTAACACCTTTTGATGCAGGAGCAAAATCCCTTTATCAGTGTAGTGAAATACATTTTCTAAACTGTTGAGAACACCTACCTGAAACTGAACTCTTGGACACTGTATAAGAGAGAGGTTAGTACCAATTTTTCTTACAATACTTCGAGATGAACCATAAGGCTTGCTTGACCAAAGCACCTAGATGGGAAGGAAAAATAAGCCAGCTGTTAGGTTAACTGATTTTTATACCATATTGGAATAGTTTTCCCTTAGCTTTCCATACTCTGCTTGTACTAAACGTATTTAAGGTTATTCCTTTTATGCTAGAATAGAATATAATACATGTACACTGAAATTTTTAGCAGTGAAATCCTTACATTCTATACCCAAATTGGCACAAAATCTGTTTTTGTCATTACAATATAGCTATGGGTATTTAAGTTCAAGACAGCCTTTGCATTAAGTTTAAATTCAAATCAGATAACAGAAAGACTCAAGAGTTGGAAGCATCTTCAAAAGCATAATTTGTCCATTTTCAAGACAATAAAGAATCTGCATTGGGTCAGACATCTCTTTTTAAGGGGTTTCAAGAAAAGCCACTCAATCATGAAAAAATCCGTAAAGTCATGTAATTCTGCATTTCCCTAAATATCTTTTTTCTTTTTTAATTAAGAGCTCTTCTAACACAGGAATAGTGTCTTAATAAAATTAACTGTCAGCTAGCATAAGCATGAAAATGTAACTGTGAAATTAAAAAGCAAAGAAAAGGAAGAAAATAAATATATAAGAATGAAACTTTGTCCCAAAAACAAACAAACAAACAAAAAACCCTCTCTCTCTCTCTCCTTCCATTCACCTAGAGAAAATTGCCCACAGCACCTCAACACACCTGGCTTCATCAGAACTGTTTCTACTGCAATTCAGATTTCTTCTACATTATTTCCACAGGGATTGAATTTGCTTTCTTTTGTGGTGCGAATGTTTGCTCTACCATTTACCATAGTTGTATGAAATAAAATCCCAGGAGAACATTACAAAATGAGCCAGAACAGAAGCAAAAAAAAACCCCAAACCCAGAGAGAAGCAGGAAAGATTTCAGCACGGGGAAAGGCAACAAAAACAATGCAAAGAAGAAAAAGAGTAACGGGAAGACTCTTAACACAGAGTACGTTGTTAGTAAACAATTAGAACACCGTATAGTAATTTAAAAAAACTTGGCCAGTGTTTATTTATGGCTGTAGATATGAATTTACTACTCAGAGGTTAGTTTTTAAAGGCTTCAAGCAAACTCAACATCGTGTTAGAAGGTTGCCCAACAAAGAAATGTTAGATAAAATCCAGGCTATTAATATTGAAACAACCCTCATCTGGCATGGCAATATTGCCCATGTGATTAGTGTAGTGCAGCTGTGGGAGTTTCACAACACACAGCTGGATAACCTTTTTGTACACTAAGCAAAGATCACTACTCTTAGATTTTGAAGGTTCTATTAAAAAGAAAAATTTATGCTCCATGGTATTTATCCCCAGATTATGTTGTCTCAGAAACCTAACAGAAACATTTTGCCTATTTCTAAATAAGTATCTTTCTTTCCTCTGGCTTTATTGGAATGTATAAATTCTGACAAAATAAATGTGCGCTGCACATATGCTATGCTAGATCCTCACATCAGAGCTGCAACTTTGCCATTAATCCACTCAGACCTACTTTTTCCATTCTATGAAACATACATTGTCTTGCTTAATATGCCACTAAGTTTGAACATAATTTTTTTCAATGCAGAGTATTCTATTGATTCTGCATTCTGGATGCCTCAAAGACAGACCTCACATTTGTGACTACTGTTTGTCTATACGTCTGAGCAAATAGCAGGTAGATCAGTAGCCTTCAAGAAAAAGTCACTGACAAACAGCACTGCAGTAATGCAGCCTCACTATCCACAACAGATTCTGATGTTAGAAGCAGAACTATTGGCGATAGCCTCAAAGCAATGTTGCATTGGAAAAAATGATACTAGTCAAGGGAAGGCTTAATTAATTACAGAAGTACTTCCACAACAGCAAAAGAACCTAGGCTAGATGCTGTCTTACCAACCTAAGTGCAGTGCATTTTAAACAAGTGGCAAAACTTGTTTATAAATTGCTCAGACCACAAACAAGATGTTGACTAGCACCTAGATCCTCAAAAATATCTGGTGCCCAAATGCCCTTGGGGTTGTTCAACAACAGTGGTTTGGTGCACCAAAACTTTTAATGACTAAGTTTTGGTAATTTGAGATATGCCAGGACAATGTTTTCAAAAAACTGCATGCAAGCTTTGCCACAAGGTGTGCAAATAAAGTCATCGCACTGCTCAGCTGAGCTAAGAAGTCTCAGCACTGCTCTACCCAAGTTCACACAACTTCTTGACTTGAAGCACTGGCAGAGCAAGTCTACAAAATACTTCTGAGTCATACCATCTCATTGCATCAGTATTTTGCTGTTGTCCAGAACAGCTGACATTTGGAAATGTAACTGCATTATCACAAGCTTGATATAAGTAGAGAATGGGGGAAAACAGATTAAAAACTTGTTCTGCCCCCCCTAATTAGGGTGAAAGATGTTGCTGACAATGATGACAGCAACACCCATGGTAGTCCAGCATATTCTCATACTTTGAATTTTTGAAGTTACGTTGCAAGAAATCTCAGATCAAAGTTCAAATAAAATCCTAAAATACAGACTCTTATTGGTAATTTTAATTTACCATGTATAAACATTTTGCTCTCCATAGATTCCCAAGACGGATAAAAGGTTCTACCACAATAATCAAGAGTAAGAACCACCCTTCTAAGTACTGCACATAGCTGTTAAGGATTTCCCCATTGTTAAAACATTAAAATATTTTGACAACTTACAGGGATTGCTATATTGAGGTCAATAGTTGCACTCAAACCAGCTTCCTAAAGGTTCCAGTGACAAAGCAGTTGATGTGTAGCAGATCTCTCTCTCTCTCTCTGCTAAGCATTCAAATAAAACTCTAAATACACACTTTCCTCCAAGAGGAGAGCTATGCATGCACATTCCTCTGTTTCCCCAGTAAAGAACGCAGCCACGTTGCTCTCATGTACTGTAACAGTTTCAGGAGAGGTAAATATAGCACAATTATTATCATCTCAGTTTCATGGGGCTTTTCATAACTCCAAGGTAAGAGCAAAGAAAGAAGATTATTTAAGAATTAACATTAGTGTTAAGAATCAGTTGAAAATTTTCCTTCAGCTTCAAAACACACATAGAAGTCCAGCATGAAAAGCAGTGTTTAAATAGAAAACAGTTTGTTATTAGAGTTAGAAGGAACTGCATGGTATTTTTAACACATACAGTACTCAATACTTCAGTGTCCAAGTTTTTCAGCAATACAGAATCATGCAAGTATTGAGTATACTTAGTGTTCTGCTGGAATAGATAAGCACTAACTAAAATATATGAAGTGCTTTCTACACCAGATTTTCTGAAAACATGAAGCAAGTTTGAAACACTTACTGATTCCATGTTTAATCCAACTTGTTCAAAAGCCATCCTAATTAAGCGCTTAAGCCAGCAAATCATCTGGAACGGAAAAAGCCTTTCCAAACTTGGATTTAAGCCTTCCAAACCTACAGGGCTGCAGAGGTTCCATAGTACTTCTGAAATGAGAAATGTAAGAATTTTACATGCAAGTTGTGGAACATATACAGAAGTAAACTGCTACATGTATTCCTAAAAAAACAAGCTTTAGAAACAGTTACTGAAAACAAGACATGTTAGGTGACAACAGTTCTTAGTACTGCAAAGCACAGGCATTCAGAAGGCATTTACTTAATACAGGTGACAAAGATTTTTTAGTAGTGTCATTTTTAAGAAATCAAAGCTGTTGCAAAGTTAATGACTAAAAAGCTGGGGAAATGATTGTTCACTTGAGCTTGGACAGATGATGGTGTTCAACAACTCTAAGTGAGCACCAAACCTTATGGAATGCCTGCAGCTGGGAACTAGCACTAAGATTAAAGGGCCATATTCCTATCTAAAACTCATTTCTATGCAGGAACAAACTAGAGAAAGCTGATCACCTCTCTTCATTTACATTCCCTGACAGCTTTGTTGTTCCCTCCTTTTTCCCACAACTGAAGAGAGAAAGGAAACATGGAAAAATGACTAATGCAAGAAAATGACAGGAAATAGCATAGATGTGAGACCTGAAAAAATTCAAGTGACTTATAAAGTTGGACAGATTTCAAATTCCGTCTATTTATATGTGCTACTATTCACTTAAATCAAGATGTTTTTATTGCTCCTCTAGTGAAAATAGTGTAGTTTTTCTTTAACTGTGTTCTACACCAGTCATAACTTGGACGCCACTGAGAACTGTATGCCACCAAAACCAAAAAAGAAGCCATAGATTTAGCTTTTCATTTGTTTTGTGTATCAGGCTAGAAACAACACTCTGTTGAACCACCCTGAGCAACGTATTTGTAATACGAACAACAGTGTTGCTGAAGCCTATATATATATATATATACACACACACACACACAGAGTGATGACTAAAACAACACAGCAGCAAGGAACTGCTACTCGGGAAGTTTGAAAGTCAAGAGATGGAAAAGCTATGCTGTTTGTAAGTGCCCACAAGCGTTACAGTTAAACCATCACTCTTTCCATTACAAATGTTTTTTTTCAACAGTTTACAGTTCCTTAGTAATAACGTGCTTCTTGTGGAAACTTGGCAGGAACAGTGCAACTCTACAGTTATCTTTTTTTAGACAGGCTTAAAAAAACCCAATAAACCAAAAAACAACTGATATTAGTTTCTCATCACCACAGAAAGTAAAAAACATTTCCTAATAGGATTTTCTTTTGTTTCTGAATAAATGAGTAATAAACTACTAATCTATCAGCTAAAGGAGGACTAATGAAAATGTAAGATAAAAAGTTATTAAAAAAAAGAAAGTGAACCAACCACCATGAGATTAGAATGGAAACTGCAATCATTATAGGAAAAACTACAGGGAAGAATAATGGGCTACTTACCAAACAGCCATGAATATAAGCTACAGTTGTACATAATAAATAAGTCATGAACTTCTTTATGGAAAGCTGGAAAAGTCTATTAGGGAAGCATTACCATCTACTTGATCTATTCTTCCTTTGGGCATCTGTTATTCTTCCCTTAGACAAGCTACCGTATGGACTGTATGGATCTTTGATCACATTGCACCTGCTGTGTTTTTTAAAATAGGAAGAATAAAAGTCTTTCTACATGCCCCATATTAGATTTGGCATCATATCTGGCACTGCAGACATGCAGTGACATAAAAGAGACAGGAATGCTCCTTTAAAAGGGAAAACCTGTTCCGAAAGTGTGATACATGCGATGCACTCTGCCTCATTCCAAAGTTCAGACTTGCTGAACATGTAGCGTGGAAATCAAAGAGAAGAAAAATGGAAGCCATGTCAGGACAATTCAAACATAAGAGAAAAAAAGGTAGAGACTGTATTGCTGAGCAAGGACAGGGCTGGCTGGAAAAGGCAAGCAATAGGACTTTAAAGGGATGACTGTATCCTGATACATTGCTCTTTCAATAGATAGCCAGGTCATTAGTTTAAAAATCCCCAGATGCAATCAGAGTCATGCTTTGTTTGAGGAAGTGAAAAAAAAAAAAAAGGTATTATTTTGTTTCTGATCTACTGGGAGGACTGAGTCTTTAATAAGAGATACAATTTGGACAATAGTGAAAAGAGGGTGTTAGAACTACCTCTGAGGAAATCAGAGCAGGTCTAGAGAGTTTCCATGAACTCAAGAAACTGAGAGGCAAAGAGATAAAGGAATGACACAAAAACTGACGAGACAACCAACCAAATAAAGGCACAAAAGCAGATGCAGAAAAAAAGTAGCATAATATTAGGATGACAGAATAGTATAAATATGATGTAGTAAGTTAAAAAAGGCTAAGGTACAAAATGGGTTCCAGCTTACAGGCATAAAAAAAATCCTACACATATATTAGGAGTAAGCAGGAGACAAGAGATACAGCCACGATATAACAGGAAAGCAAGCAATGAGTGATACAGCTGGTCAGTGTATTCTATGTTTTCACTTGAAGATGGTGGAAAAGACAGAGGCAGATGTTAGAACAGGTTATAGACAACTCTGAAAAGTTATAAGAATCCAGGGCAACAGTGTCTAATGAAACTCACCTTCAACAGCTCAGAAATTAGCCAAAGCAATTTCTGAAATATTAGTAATTACTTTTAGAAACTTGTTCAATGAGATCCAAAAGACCCAGGATAAAAGCAGGAGCGTTATGACACAAAGCATCAGGAATAGTCCAAAATACTTATCCTGCCCTAAAACATTTAGGTGGCCTTTTATAATTCCAGGTTCCAAGACTTCAATGACCAAACACTAAAGAGCTTTCATTCAACAAAACAACTACTTCAGTAAAATGATTATTTATAGTTCACATTACAAATCATTGTTTCTTCTGTAGCCTAACTACTTAAAAGTACCTAAGACTGGGGTCATCAACTCCTTGCTCTTGCCTATGATCTGTTCTCTGCTTTTGCAGAAGAAAGTGACCGAAGTCAATCTGTAAGAGTGCAGAGTACCAACCAATTCCTGGATTAGTTTCCTTAGTTCCTGGCACCAAGGAAAACCACCATGTTTTAACAACCTCCAGCTAATTTGTTATCTAAAAGGAGATCTAAAAAGAAAAAGCTTCCCCAGACAAACTTGATACTCATTTCTTCCAGAGTCTATTGCACTATACCTTTCTTCATAAATCTCAGTTATTTCACGATTATCCTATGTGCCAAGAACAGAAAGAGTTCATTCCAAAAGAAACTGCTGAACAGCAAGAATGAAACCATTAGCAAATTTTTCTCTCATGCTCTGTACACATGCCAATTTCAGAAGCAGGAGTTGTATGTTTATTGCTTTTAGTAAGCTAGAATAACACCTCTTTTAAAATATTGATGCTTGTTTTATTTATCCTTTATTTTCTTTATGCTACCTAAACTAAAAATAGTAGTAGTTTAATCCCTCTAAAATTTCCACAGCTGAATTACTACAATAAAACACCCTGAGTGATAGTAATACGGCTATAAAACATGGTCCTTCTCCTGTGCTTAAGCAAAACCATTACAACAATAAGCAGTAATCATAGGCAAGATTACCAAAGGAGGTTAGAAGAGTAGTAACATGAAGAATTACATTTCACTGCATAAAGCATGTGGGGGTTGGAATTTCATGGGTTCTTCATTTATAAAACTCTACTTACACAGAAATTAGCAATGCTGAAAAACTTACTTTCTGATATGGAACCATGCAGGAATTCCTTGGTTCAGAAATTAGGAGGTCTACACTTCTGAGTGCCAGGATTCTCACTTTAGCCTCCTTGAACTCTCTTTTGCCCCTGCTTTTCTCAACCACTTTTGCAGGTTTCATTCAAAACTGTCATATCAAATATCAGCCTACAAAGCTGAAAGATAATACCACTTATAAATTACAAAATGTTCATTAAATAAATGTAAAGGCTCTGGAGGCTGCACACATAAGGCATACCACTCAGTAAATATGAAATGGAGCCCTTTGCCAGGCTTGCTAATGAGTCCTACACATGAAAGATGAAAAGAAAGAAAAATCAGATGCAACTGCTTTCAATTTGAAATTCTTCTCTGTGTATTTTCCAATGTTGTATTTGTTCAAGTCCCTTCCAAATTATGAGTTCTCGCTCTTAAAAAGAAATATGATATTCATATTTTTCTCACTCAAGGAAGTTTCTCTCATTCATGTAAGATCCCCACAAAAATAAAAGAGAATGACTTAATGGGCTTGATGCAGCAAATCAGCCTTAACAAAGAATTAACAAACACATGAAATCTGAAAAATGAAAGGACTAGTCTGTAAATTGAAAGGGTACGGATAACATAAAGAAATACAAAACTTTCAAAGCAGCACGGTTTCAAAGGAATACCAACCACATCAAAAATCATGTGCAAAAAGAGCGGGCCCCTCCTTATTTTAGCAGGCAACTAGGGCACGCATATCTTCAGAGTCTTTAAGACTGACACATGATCCAAGCTCATGTCATGAAATTATATCCATAAGGAAACTATATTAAAGAAATAATAAAGAAAGATAAAGCCAACAAAAAACTATCAGAGGAACAGCAAGCCAAACAGGCAGGAAGAATCTTCTGATAAAGGACTAGACCCTCTCCCAAATCAAAACAGACCAGTTATAAGTAATGTAAGTATTTGGCAGAGAACACACAGCCAAATACAGAGGTCTATTTTTCGGCCTGGAAGCCACAAATAATGAAGCGCCTCACTACTTTCAGAAAGACCTGTTTGGAAAGATACATAGAAAGAGATAAAAGTCAGTGAATACTACAGAGACAATCAAAGGCTTATCTAAGCTAGTATCAGCATGAAATCTAAAGCAAGAATTGAAAATAATACATACTTGCAATAGAAGTTGCTAATGCTTTCTTAAAAGTATAGCCCAATCACACATACCTCAAAGTGCAAAACCATATTCATCACGTCTTACCTATATTACCACTATCTTGCCAACTAAGGATGGAGAACAAAAAAAATCCATGTTTCAACACTAGTTTAATCAAAAGCCTTTGCTCAGCTGAGATTATACCTACACGGTGCAATATGATACCATGGAGAGGTAAGTGAAATCCTTCAACATCTCTAAACCATATGGTATTACGCTATACAGACATAACCATACACCTACACTTTCCTGCCAGACATACAGACCTCCCTAGTCATTGCTGTGAATGCCAGTCCTTCTGCTACATCTTTGAGAAACAAAAGCATGCAAATTTTATTAACAAAAGGGAGTATCTGTCTGAAAAAGCATTTAAAATGTTCAATCCTCCCCCCCCCAGCAAATCTTCCTTTGTAACAATGTTGAGTTTCTACACACAGCAATCATATTTCAGCTAGTGACCTCTGTTAAGAAACTTATTTTGATTCAGCAACAGTTAACTGGAAGTTTTAGAGCTGATGTGCAGAAAACTCAACTCCTTTCTCTTTTCTTTATCTCCTGGGTAAAAAGCAGTAGGTATCAGAACACAGAATTATTTCCTTTTCATTTAGTCTTTGCAAGCCTTGTCTTCACAAGAGCTACAGAGGACTACGGCTGTCTGAGGACAGAACATAAATATTAATGAAGTCTTGCTGATGCCATCAGAGAGAGATCAACGCCCTACGGTTGATGTCAGCATTCAAACTTTACTCACGCTCAGTATTTGGCAATTCGACAGCTTGTTAAACAAAATAAAAACCAGCACCTAGCAAGTTACTTATTTACGACAATTGCAGAAGAATGTAAGCACAGCAGCAGCATCACTAAAGGCATACAAAGTAAGCATCATAAGTTTGCAGAAAAGGGAAATTAAGCACCAGACCCCTTGAGGCTCGGCTCCTTTTCCCTCTATATGCTACCTCTGTATTTTAAAGCCGCCTTAAAAAACTGCCCTCCAGCTTCTCCAGGTTATCTTTTATCTACATGATTTCCCGTGACCTGTCACTCCCATCACAGCAACGTACGAGGGTTTCACTTTCGGTCAGCTTGCCTGCAGAAACGACAGCTTCGACCCCAACACCCCGAGCCGTTTCCACGCTGCTCTGCTCCTCTGGCAAGGCGGCACAAGCACGGCACCTCCGCAAGCCCGCTGCCTGCCCGGCACCTGCCCTGCCCAGGACGGGCCCTCGGCGGCGCCGCCGCCGCGCTCACGGCGGGAAGCGGCGGCTCCATCCCGCCGCCCTGCCCGGGGACAGCGGCCATGAGCGGGGCCGCCCTGAGCGGCCCGCACCCACTTCCAGCCGAGCAGCTGCACCCCCACCTCCCCTCGGCGCCGACCGGGGAGCTCCGGAGGGCAGACCCCGCAGAAGGAAGGAAGGAAGGAAGGAAGGAAGGAAGGAAGGAAGGAAGGAAGGAAGGGCAGACCCTCAACAACCCCCCCCCCGCGGGGCTCCCGCTCTGAGAGGGGCCCCGGCTGAGCCGGAGGAGCGCGGCGAGCGCTGCCCGTCGGCAGCGGCCCGCAGCACACGGGGAGAGGCGTGCTAAGCGCAGCAACCTCCGGGCCCGGGTCGCGCTCCTGCTCGCACACCGCTCCCAAGCCGGGATGAGGCGCGACGAGAGGGGCTGCCCAGGAGGAAGGGGAGGCCCACGGGCCGCCCGGGGGAAGGGGCCGCCACCGCCGCCCTCGCCTCACCCGCCGTCCGCCACGGCCGCGCTCCCTCACCCGCTTCTTCCACCGCGGCTCGCCACCCCCGCTGCCTCCTCCCCGCCCCGGCAGCCAATCCGCGGCCGCCTCGGCGCCAGCCCGACCAATAGTCGCCGCGCCCGCGGGAGGCGGGACCTCGGGTGCCCTCCGCCAGCCTGCCGGCGCGGCGACCTTACCCGGCAGCCCCTGGGCGCGGAGGAGACGGGTGAAACCGCCCCGCCCCTCTCGCTCACCGTGACCGCTGGGCCACGTGACCGGCCGCCTCCAATAAGACGGGGCGGGGGGAGCTACCTTCGGTTGGTTGGCGGTGGTAGGAGCGGCGCGGTCGGCCCCGGCCGCGCCTCCGGGGCCCCTCGGCGCGGCTCCCGCTGGGCGCTGGGGAACGGCAGCGGCCCTACCCGGTCATTACCGACCCGGCAGTGGTGTGCCTGCCTGGAGCAGGCTTGCCGGGAGCGCGGGAAGTGCCAGTGTCGGGAGCGCTCGGGGCCTGGCCGGGGGGGGTGGCGGGGAGGCCTCCTAGCCTTGCTCCGGGGCCCCGACGGTAACTGACGGCGCTGCCCGGCGGCTGCTGCTGGCTGACGGCGCTCGGGGGTGCGGCTGTCGGCTGCGGCACCGCCGGTGGCTCCGTGGCTGGTGTCGGCTGCGTCCCGTTAAGGCGTGAGGGCAAGGGGCCCGGGGGGACGTTTCCCCGTGCGGAGCCGAGGTTTAAGGGCTGTCCGGGAGGAGATCCCGGCTTTCCAAGCTCCGCTGGGAACTCGCGCGTTTCAAAGCTCGGAAAGTTCAGCTGGGGCGAGTGGAGGAGAGGAACGTGAAAATGAAAGACCTTCGCGCCTTGGTGGGGGGGACCCAAACCTTCACACAGGAAGAACATCGGCTCGTAGTAAAATAAATTTTAACTGCCCGGGTCTGCTGGGGTGGGGGCTACCCGCGCCGGGTTTCAGAAAGGGGGTAGGTACTGTGTCCCCACGCAGGACGAGGTGTGTTTTACGCTACGTTATGTTACAGCACGGTTTACGCGAGCGGTAAATTCAAGTTCTGGTGGTGACCATCTATGGAAAAAAAGTTATTTTAAAAAAATGGAGCTACGGCCCCTGTTTTCCCCGTCGCGTCCTCGCCGGCGGGGGTCTGCGGCCCTCTCCGAACTGCAGCTCCCGGCATGCGGAGCGGCCAGGGGGCGGGGCAAGCTGCCGCCAGCCAATCGCGCCTCGCTAGGAACAAAGCGCGCCGCGAGTGGCGGAGAGGCGTGGGCGGGCCCGCGCCAATCGGGTCGCGGAGTGGTGGGGGGTGCCGGGGTCAGAGCGGGCCGTGGCGGGTGGTGCGTGTGCGGCGGGCCCTGCTGCCGGCCTCCCGCCTCCTCCTCCCGCCGCCCTCCGCAGGCCGTGCCGACCCCGCCGGCGATGGGGGCGCGGGGCTGAGCTTCTCGGCCGTGGACGTCTTTTGCGACGGTACGGGGCCGGGGCGGGGAACAGGCCGCGCCGGGGGGGCGGGAACGGGGGACGCTGGGGAAGGGCGGGATGGCCGTGAGAGGGGGACGGCGAGGCCGGCTGAGGTCCCTCTCGCTCTCCCTAACCGCGTCGCGGAGCTCGCCTCAGCCGGTCTCTGGAGCGTTGTGCCTCGGCCGGACGAGGGGCCCGGGAGCTGAGCCCCGGGGCCTTGTTGCCAGCCGGGGTGTCGGCGCTGCCGCTTCGGGAACGCTCAGCTTGGCAGCGGAGGTGTGAAGCTGTGGCGGTTCCTCTCCTGGGCCTCCCTGGTGAGGACACAGAAGGGAGAGGGAGACGGAGAGAGGGATCTGCGGTGCCTTTGTTGAGCTTTGATCTCAAAGCTACAAGGAGGAGAAAAGAGCCGGTACCTGGCTGACTTCTCTTGCTAGGGCCCTAAACTCTAGATAACTTCCTAAAACTTTTAAAACGGCTTAATTGTTTTTTTCATAACAAAACGCCGGGGGTCCTGGTTTTCATAAAATTAGTTGTTGTAGGTGATGGAGAAGATTGTCTCCTCAGTTGTGGCTGAGGAGAGAGGGAGAAGGGTCTGGGGAGGACGTGAGTGTGGCCTACTGGGATAGGAGGGGTGTAAAATTTGGCTTCATGATTTTTCGGGAGTTTAGAAGGAAAAAGACAAGAGGTGATCAGGATGGAGAGAGTTGTAGGAATGATCTGGTGCTTGGGATGCAGAACTGGAAGTCAGAGGCTTTTGTTAGCATCAGCTCCACAACTGACTTGATTTTTAAGTTTTGAATGAGTTCCTTTGCCAACTATGAAAAGCAATACTTAACAGAGTTTGTTGTGGGTTTTGTTTTGTTTGTTTGTTTTTAATTTAGAGTTTTCCGCTTTAGAAATATAAATTATTATTTATTGGTTGAGCTGCTGTATCTACCAGTTGATCTCTTTTGGACTTGTGATAGTCAAGAAAAATAGCCTGGAGACTAATCACTGGCATGAACTTTTCACATTAGCACCCTCTTTCCTGAAGGAAGGACCAGTGACTTAGAGATTAACAGCATTTTTTCGATGTGAAAAAGGTCAGGAACTATCATAACCAAAATGCATGTTTGTGGTTTGTTGTTTTTGATGAATATAATTGACTTGTGTTGCTGAAAGGCCTACCTTCAGTAAGAAAACAATACCATGTTTGTACAATATTATGTGTTTGGGAAATGATGTTAAAAGAATATGACCACTTCCAAATTCAATTTGTTTTATTGTTATGCAGGGGGAAAATGAGAGAACACAAATTAACACTACATATTTACTCACACTTCTGTGTCTTAAGAAAAGTTACTTGCATGAGTTGGTACTGGCAACACCAGGACCCCAGTTAGCATTTAATAGTTTCAGAGGTACATAATCAGTGTTTTGAAGGAAACTATTTTCTTTGCACCAAGATGTAGTGTTTTCTCTGAGTAAACATATGCTTTTGTGGCCTATTAAGTAGTTATTCCTTATTAAACAACTCTGGAATCTGATACTGTCAAGCTAACAGGTGTCTCCTTTGAAACTGATAGGATGGTTTGGACTTCAGCTGGAGCAAGTCGTGACCTGCTTTATTTCTTTTTAATGAGAGGGTACTAGTGAAAAGAAAAAAAAAAAACAAGCCCCACCCTCTAAACCCCTTTTTGCCTTTGAATGAGTATGACATTACAGTACTTATTTGACATGTAGACCCAGATTAAAACTTGATGTTCTCTGTTCTTGATACAGTGTTAATCTTTTGCTGGCTTTTCTGGTTCATTTTTCTGTAAAATTGATTATTGCTAAAGGTACTCTGAAAATAGAAATTTTGATTTTACACATGTTTATACAGGAGGATGTTTATAGACTTCTAGGGTACCTTGTTGTTAGAAAACTATGGATTTCTCAGAAATGTTTGTCAGTAGTGTAAAAAAATGCAACATAAACACACTCCCCGGCTGGAGTGGCTGACTGGTCTGAAATTACATAGAGGAAACAAATCAAAATATTAACCAAGCCTACCTGTTCTCTGCATAGGAAGTTTAGATTTCCAGTTTACAAATTTCAAGATCCACATTCTTATCAATTCCGTCTGCATTCCATGAATTCTAGTCCTTGTCTTTTTATACTTCTATGCTCATAACAAATCAGTGCCTTTGTGCTTTTGTCTTACCTGTGTTTTAATTGATGATAAATGTTGTGGTATTAGTAACAGAGGTTTGTTGGGGTTTTTTTTTAGCAGGTATTTTGTATGCATGGTGCAGAAAAAATGAATTCTACTATGAGTGAGGAGCCTGATGCACTATCTGTAGTTAACCAACTCCGAGATCTCGCAGCTGACCCATTGAACAGACGGGCCATTGTTCAGGATCAAGGATGCCTGCCAGGTCTTATTCTGTTTTTGGACCATCCCAACCCTCCAGTTGTTCATTCAGCTTTACTAGTAAGTATTCTGGAGATAAATTTGTATGTCAGTGGGACATTTTGTAACTTTTGTTAATATGTCTTTAACCAAGTAAAAAGGCAAAAAATAAAACCTGGTTTTATGTTATGTTTGATACTCGTTATATGTGGGGTTTTTTTAAAATATGTATTTCAAAAATTGTTTAGCAGTGACACATTCCAGGGGAATTTATGTTTTTTTGGAGAGATTCATTTACTTTGTATTTTTTCCCTAATACAGCTATTTGACTTTTTGTGTGGAGGGAGGTAAGCGCCCTTAAATCTCTTTCTTAAGATGAAGTCATGGAGCTTGGTAAATATACACAGTGATTCAACATTCATATTGTAAAAAAAAAAAAAAAAAAGGATAATTTAGGTTAGAAGCGACCTCCAAAGGTGATGTAGTCCAATCCCATATTCAAATTAAGTGTACTCAGGTCATGGCACAGGGTTGTGTCTGCTTGGTTCTTGAACACTTTGAAGGATGGAGGTTCTGTAACCCCTCTGGCCCCTGTTCCAGCACTTGACCACCCTCATGGTATTAAAACCAAACAACCAACCCCGCCCAAAAAACCAACCCCAAATCTATTAATATCTAATACAACTTGTTCCAGCTT